TAGTTTTTGTGTTAGTGATTCTGTGTTATTATAATGTGGACATGTACTGTAAACACTCAATTTCACACTTTTATATATATTTTGATAATTCCTGATCATAGTTTCAGATTCTCTTTATAAAGATTGATATGAAAATAAAAAGATCTGAAGAATGAAAACTATTGATTTTTAATGCACAGGATTCCTGTCGTATCATACACTTAATAGAATACAAACAAGCACATTATTTAATAGCATTAAATTAAATTCTATGTTAATACTATTTATTAATCCATAAAATTATGGAAATATTTCAAGTGTATCCACAAAGCAGGAAAGAAAATACAAAGCAGGAAAGAAACCTATAGTGTTTCTATCGATTACTGCTGCTACAATGGCAGGTTATTACGATTTAAGTGAGTTTGAACGTGGTGCCACCGACACCTCCCAAGTACAAAACGTGCACTGCACTTACGGGTCTAATGACCCTGGTAGTTAACGAGTCCAAAATCACCAAACACTTAATCAATCAAACCCTACAGTCAGTGACCACTAGGAACTGCTAATGACCAAAGGAATTGACATTTCCGGAAACACGAAACACTCTCACTCCCTCATTCACCCGAAGCCGTTTGCCGCAGAGGGAAGCCCGGCACGCCGAGCACGCTCCGTGCCACGGGTGATCCGGCCGGGGGACGAGGGGAGAGGCGGCAGTCGCCGTCCCGCCGTTTCTGAATTGTCCCCTCTCGCGCCCGCTGCCTTTCCGCTCGTCCACCCACTCACGTCCGCCTCCCCCGCGCCCCGCCGCTGCACCCACATCCTGAGTGGAGCTTTCCCGCGCCGCACCACGTCGGTGTTTCTGCGCGTGCGGCCACACGCGCCCGTCCCGCTCGTTCCTGCCCTGAGCACTTTCTTGTTTTAGGGGCCTCGGCGAGCGAATCTTCCGAAAGCAGCTCGGTAGACATTTTTTTTTTACTTTCCCGTGTACGTACATACATACGAGGTAATATACAAGTTGTGTCCAAAAAGTTATGAAATATATTTTTTTGACAACATTTATTGCCAATATATGTACGAAGCTTTAAAATTCTTCAAAGTATTCACCATTAGCATCTACACATTTTTTCCAGCACTTCGCCCATGATTGGTTAGCCCCTTGGAAGGCCTCAACCGAAACCTCGTTTAAGAGCGTTGTCACAGCCTTTTGGATGTCCTCAGTGGTCTCAAAACGGCGTCTATTGAGCGCGGTTTTAATCCTAGGAAGTAGGAAGGAGGCCAGGATTGTAGGATGTCTGCGGCCGTGTTGCCAGGTTGTACTTGGCCAAATACTCGCGGACGCGCAAAGATGTGTGGCTCGGCGCTTTGCCGTGATGCAGCAGCCACTTAGCGGCGACGTCTTTTCGCACTCTGAGGACCCCTCCGGAGGATCTTTCCAAGACATCTACGTAGTAATGAGCATTAACAGTCTGCCTTTGGGGTATAAACTCTTTGTGCACCACACCTTTGTTGTCGAAGAAGACAATCAGCATCGTTTTCATCTTAGATTTACTCATCCTCGCCTTCTTGGGTTTTGGGGACGCTGAGGTGTGCCATTGCGAACTTTGGCGCTGGTTTACGGGACGTACGCGAAAGCCCATCACTCGTAACCAGTAATAACGTTGTCCAAATAATGCAGTTCAATTTCCACACGTTCGAAAAGTTCACTTGCGATCAACACTCGATTGACCTTTTGTTCGTCTGACAGAACTTTCGGCACTAACTTGGCGCACACCTTTCTCATGTGCAATTCCACCGTAACAATGTTGAATACGGAACTTTTTTTGGAATACTCAGTGTCATCTAAAAGCCGAACACTCAATCGGCGGTCAGAATTTATCCATTCACGAACACGATTCACATTGGTTTCGTTTCTGCTTGTTGATGGTCTTCCAGAACGAGGGTCATTGTCAACCCCTTCCTGGCCATTCTTTCTCTTCTTCACTCATCTCGTAACTTGCACATAACTCATGGCAGATTCCCCGTAGGCTTGCTTGAATATTGCGCGAGCCTCGGAAGGCTTTTTATCGAGCTTCGTGCAAAACTTGATCACCCAACGTTGTTCGACCGAATCACTCATCGCGTGTCGTGACGAGATCGCGAATCAGAGGCGCACTTATTCAACCACTTATTCAACGGTAGCGCAAATGCAACCGTTGCAAGGATCAGACGTGGCGGAGCAGACGTGGGGCTTGGTGCGCTGTAAATCTGAGGGTGCGCTGTAAAACGGGGGGGGGGCGCCTAACCCAATCAGTCCGAGTGCGCTGCAACCAATAGCAGCGCTGTAAAAAAATATATTTCATGACTTTTTGGACACATCTTGTATGTAGTATAGGGAAAGTCGTATAAACCGTTTTCCTTTTTTTTACTATTAAACTGATATTACAAATCCAATGCGAAATATCTGAAATCTTATTTTACTTATTCTTCATTTTTTGAAAATAATGATCATTTCACCAGCAAAGAGAAGTTTCACAGTTTCGAATGCTTGATGGCATATCGTAAACGTATAAAAGAAAGAGAATGCTTCTCAAGATGCAACCCTGCGGCATCTCATGCTCTAATGCAATGAATTGGCAAGATGAGACATTAATGTTCTTTCAAGCCAGTATGGTATTTCTAATATTTGAGGTTGATAGGTTAGTAGATAAGTACGAAGTCAACCAATCTCAGTCAATATCACGAATTATATCCGAGGGTAATTTGAAAGCAAAATTATATGGTCAATGATGTCAAATGCTTTTGAAAGACTTAAAATATTTCAATATGTTTTCCATTTTCATTCATTTATTAAGCAACATCTTTATGAAAAGTAACTAGTGGTGCTACAGAATGGCACAGACTTTCTCGTTGTAAAGTTTCCTAATTTCCTTGGTGTGGACTGGCTTTAAGATCGTGCCCCATTCTCTTGCCAGCTGCCATCTGTTTCCACCCAAACTACATATTTTTGACATTTTCTCAATTTTTCGGTTTCCCAAGAGTAGAACCGAGATATTACTTTAAGAATGGTTACGAATGCTATGCTGAATGCATGAATTGTAACGAATGCTACGCTTGCTCGATGAAGAACCTCGAAGAAGGTTTTGGGTTATTTGTTGATTCAACTAAGCAAGAGTATTGTATAGAGGAATATGTGTATTACTTGTAATGTACTTAGTGATTATATGTTCAACCATACAATGAATATTTAACTCGTAAAAGCACTTGTGACTGGGAACAGGATTCGAACCAGCGTATTGCGAACTGACTTATTACCGACAATAAGTCAGTTTGCCGATATCATTGCTAAGAAAATCTCAGTTGATCGGATTGTGGCAACTCAAATTTATATTAGTGAAAATAGTTAATTGCAATTATGCATTAAAAATTTCGGAATGCATTCTGAAGGTATAAGCTCGTATGTCAGTTATTCGTTAACTTTTGCATGTGTCTAACGAAGATGACTAAAACCCAAATCATTTATGACGCAATCACAATTGAAGCTCCAAAGCTTACTCAAAAACTTTTTGAAAATAAAAATATATTTCCAAAACAAAAATACGATTACAGTATCACGTTTCAAACTAATGAACAACACTCGACGTAGTAATCATATTCATCAGGTGACAGTATCATGCTCACTACAAAAAATTCACACACAATTCTTGTACATTATTTTACAACTTCTTGCCATATGACATTAAACGATTAAATTCGATGCAAAAGTCCAAAGTAAAATATTTTCTGCGGCACAACTGTTTCTATGCAATTAGAGAATATACAGAGCATCCAAAACTTATATTAATTAATATTAAGAAAATTAATATTAATTTTAACAATGACAATTAGTGTATTATTTACCATTTGGATTGTATAATTCTAAAGAACCTGTAACAAGTATTGTACTTCAGCTTCGGGGTCAATGACCCCATCTGGTTTTTGTCCAGTTTCCCTGATCCTATGCTACAATGGCCCCTTGTCATCCTTCTGGACATAAATATAACTTCAATTTAACTTCTCCCCATAGCACGTCACACACAGTTTTTAACTGTTTTTGACGTAAATAAATAAATTAATTAAAAATAAATAAATAAAATTTATGGCACGTATTCAGATTCAATTGACAAGGAATTCCGAAACAATTTGACGGAATTTATACGAACACCTTTTACCAGGAAATTTAAAAAGCTATAAATAATTTGTCTTAATCATGATGCTAGCAACATTTTTTTTTTTCAAAATTGTAGAGTTCAAATCTTTCCTTCAGGGTACAAAATGGATCTGCAGGTTCAAATAGATCTTTTACTGTGGTCACGTGTCTTGTTGATTTTAGGTAATAATTGCCTTTTATCTCGTTAACATTTATTTCGTTATATCGTTATTTCGTATAACCGTTTATTTCGTTAACATTAAATAAAGTTGGAATGTTTCATCTCTTTTTATTTACATTTTTTCATTATTAGTTATTTTTAATTTATTATAGATAACTCTATGAAACTTTATTTGTTCTCTAGCGTATTTTAGTATAATAATAAGTGAATCTTGTCTCTTTAGTGAACTGGCACGCGCTCTGAATGCGGAAACTTGAGGGGGATTCTGAAGTTAATATTAGTTTTACTAAACTATTTTCAAAAGTATGTCATCGCCAGAAATAAAATTATTTTCAAAATCGTATTTGTATATTTTAGAATGGAGATGAAAAAAGGAATAGTTTCAAATATGCATTGCTTGCAGATATCACAGTTCTTTGTAGTATCTCACAATTTGTAATTTGAAACTTTGTTTCCTGATTGCTGATATGGACGGATGATTGAAAAGTGTAATTTGAAGCCTTATTTGCTACTGGCAATTGTCTACGACTGATTAAAAATGTACAGTTTTAGTCTTGCAGGCTGCAGATATCGACGATTGAAAGGTTTTTTTGTTTGTTTGTTGTTTGAAACGTGGCTTACTGATATCAACGAATGTCATACAAAATGCATTGAAACATTGTTTGCTCGTTGCAGATATCGACGAGTGCGCGGAGGACAATGGAAGCTGCGATGAGCTGTGCCTCAATACGGCAGGCTCATTCAGTTGCGGCTGCCCGCCCGGCCTGCGCCTGGCCGCCAACGGACGCTCCTGTCTAGGTGAGGCCTCCGCTGGCACCCAACTCTCAACCCCACGTGGCACCCCCCCCCCAAACGCTCAGTGGTTTGTCTGCACTTGGGGATACGAGAAATCGTCAAACGGTAATGTGACTGACTCCGATACGCACTAGCACCAGAAAGAGTTTAGTTCCACAAGATCTGTATGAAATCTGTCCTTTAGTAAAAAAAAATCTTCAAATGAAGTCGCGTACAATTTTTCGAAATTGAGTAGTTTTGCGAAATGTTGCGTGAAATATGGGCAATTTTTAAACAATTGTTTTATCAAAAAGAGCCCAAATTCTGTCTTGATTTTTCCTTGCCCTGGATGGTGCTTTCCACGCTTAAAAATGGTACAGTTTCTGCAATTTTCGGCAAACTCCCTGTGTTCTAGAAAATTTCAAAAAAATATCTTTACAAAAGTACAATATAGATTATAGTGATGTTTTTCCTTAATGAAATATGTTTATGTATTACATTATTCCGTAGCTGTTACAAAAAAGCGAGAGAGCTCGTGATATTATTGCACCGCTCGCTAAAATGAGCTATCTTATAGATAACAATTCGATCCCCCTTCATGTCCTACAAGTGTAACTTTTATTCTGAACATGCATATACAAAATCCTTTTTTTGTTTTCAAATTTGAGCAAACTAAGGGAGTTTGAACTAGTGAGAATGATATTGACAGTAAAAAAAATATAGAGATAGTTTTCGTTATATATTTAGCACATCGGCAGAAATTTCATGAGTCATATTTTTTTATTCTCTAAATTTAAGTCATAGACGGCGATTTCAATAAAGGGTATGGGGTTCCTGATACCTAAAAAGTGTTAATTATTGTTCCTATATGTAGTAAATTACTTCCTTTAATTTAGTAAGGTTAGGCTAGGGAGTAATATGCTCATTGATATGCTTGATTGAAAGTAGCCATAAGTTCACTACAATGTATGAAGAACATTAAGTCTTAGCAAGTCCTCCCAAACAAGGCATCTCCATAATTTATGCGCTGGAGCGTGGTAGCGTCGCACCAACGCGCAGAGGCGTGCATCAGTAGGTTGATCTTTCCCGTCACGCTGATACAAATTGCGGAAAAGCCTGATTTTGAAACTGTGATCCGAAGGTCAGGATAGTGACTGCTTTAAACTATCTTTTTTTGTAGTTTATTGCGAAGAGAGTTTTTTTGGACAGTATGCGAAGATTAAGTACAAAATTTAGTTCTTTATTGCGAGTTTTTAATGAGTTCCTGTCCTGTATTATTTTGCTGTGTCCTGTATTATTGGTCATTACTTGTTTAACATTTTATGCTTATAGTATAATGGGCAATATTTCTAATAAAGCAGATACGAAACATTTATTCTCCTCCAACACTTGTCACATTGCAATTTTGTCTAAATCCTTGAAGACTCTGGAATATACAGCTCTGAAGGAAGTCGTAGTATGATTGCCGAAATTCGACGCATACGTCACCCCGGCAGCTAAGATTATATTGACCCCGTCCGCGGATGCTTTTCCATTTGTCATATTATAATTCAATTGTTTTGTACTACATCGCCTTGGCTCTGCCACAGAATTTTAAAACTTGTAAACTTGCCTTTGTTGTCTCGTATTTCTAAAATAGCCAGCAATTTCTTATGCATCATTTCTCCTTTTTAATTTTGGATAGCTTTTAATTTGATTTTTCTTTTCTGTTTACTTATTAGGAAACAGACCTAAGTCGTCTTGATTAGGTTGCACACAAGTGAATGAGTCTACGGCTTAAGTCCAAATCTGGTAAAATTCGCGAACTACCCAGTTAATATTCACATTGTTTAAAATGAGAGTATGAATTAGGAATTGTTTAAAATGAGAGTATGAAAAGGAGCCGCTTCAAAACATATTTCTGGCGTAAAAAGGATGAAGTGTAAATTAGCCTAGGCCAGGATAGGTAAATTCCTAACAGCGATGAGAAAGAGCAGATAATGTATGAAACAGAAATCAAACTGCTTATGGAAAGTTTCTAAGGCTACTGAGGGACAACTTTAACTTCGAGTTCCACTGTGTCAGTTAACAACTTCTATTTACACGGTACTCCCTAGCCTAACCTTACTAAATGAAAGGAAGTAATTTACTACATTTAGGAACAATAATCAATAATTTTTCGGTATTAGGAACCCCAAACCCCCTGTTTCAATTGCAAAATCCCTGGGTTTTGCTATGGCATTAAAATACTTTTTTTATGTTGTGGAAGTAGTATGCAAATAAGAAAACAATAGCTCTTCCACACAAAAATCACAAAAAACTATGTTTTCCAAACAGTATGTTAAAATATTTATGTATCACAGCCGAAAAATAAATATTTTTTGAACGAGTAATTTAGTAGCCATTGCCAAGAATAGAGTTGTGTAATTTGGTAATTGAGTGAGGTAACATAACATTTGGGCCGAAATGCATTGTATATTTTTTGTTTTACTATGAATGTGTAATATTGTAATTTAAAGAAATAAATCAATTTAATTGGCATCACCATTATTGGAGTTAATTTTACGAAATACTTTATGAATCGACAGTGCTCCAATTTACGCGTACTGATGTGTCCTTCAATACTAAATCTCGCATTCGATGTAATTTTTGATGGCGTAAAGTCGTGTATATATATATATATATATATATATATATATATATATATATATATATATATATATATATACTAAATATTTAAAAATGAGTATTTTACTTCGAACTTTCAAGATATACGTCATTACAAATTTTTGCATAATAATGAAAAACCGCAGGTCTTCATGTGATGTGCTATAGTCAAGAGCAGATTTCTCTATTTCCATCCCAACAGAAAATAGTATGAACACATACCGAAAACATTTTCTAAGAACAAAATATTTTGTTAAAATTCACCTTTACAAAATGTGCACATGTTAATAATAAATATTAATGAGAGTAGAAATGTGAAACAAATACATGTCTAGTGCTAGAATTCATGATGTTTAAAACTTTCTGTTAGCTGTGGGTCTTTTTCTCGCAAAACACGCACTTGAGGTTGCTTCAAGGAATATGTATATTAAACACTACATTGTTAAAGGTAGCCAATTATCTTCATGTCTGTGTAATTATGACAAACGTATACACAATTATACCTTCAGTGTAGCTTGGAAACAGGCAGTACGTGCAGCACATTTGCCTCCTATCATTGAAAATATGCGAGGCATTCTCTCTCTCTCTCCCTCTCTCTCTCTCTCTCTCTCTCTCTCCTCTCTCTCTCTCGGTCGTTCTCACTCGCTCTCTCTCGCTCTCTCTCTCTCTCTCGCTCTCTCTCTCTCTCGCTCTCTCTCTCGCTCTCTCTCTCGCTCTCTCGCTCTCTCTCTCTCGCTCTCTCTCTCTCTCTCTCGCTCGCTCGCTCTCTCGCTCTCTCTCGCTCTCTCTCTCGCTCGCTCGCTCTCTCGCTCTCTCTCGCTCTCTCTCTCGCTCTCGCTCTCTCTCTCGCTCTCGCTCTCTCTCACTCTCTCCCTCCCTCTCCTCTCTCTCCTCTGTGGGGTTTTCGCCTCACGTTTCTGATTGCGCATCACGTTGCCTGTTTATGTCATCTCGAAACAACCAGTTTTACTCAGGAAATTCAATTCGCGTGATATGGCTCTGTCGGCTGCGGCAGGTCAGAACGACACCTCGAACAAGCCCCCCGTATTACGTATATTCACTCACGCGCTCCATCAAAGCCCGGCTGCTCGGGGCCACTTTATACGCGTAGTTGTCGTAAAACATCTCGTTTCTACGGCGCTCAGAAGCAAGCGGCGAGCCTCAGACCGGGTTTAACTGCGAGAATGCAATATGTTGACCGTCACCAGTACTACCGTCTGGCCTTGCACTTCAGGTTGAGATGTGAATTCGGGGTACATTGTTCATAATATCGCGTCTTATGCTTGTTGTCATTACAAACTTGCGTCGCGTTTACTATGGCCAGCCGAGCTGTTTCGCTAGGCATTATGTTGACTATGTGAAGTGGGTTGATAAAATTTGGCCAGTTCGCGCTTAATGTATGCCTTGAGGATCTGTACAATATTGCTACGAAGCGCATTGAAATGCTTCCCTGCATGGTCGTAACATTTAAACGTGGTCTTGGGGTGACCTGAACTAAAATTGAGCCCTCTAAGCCCGTGCATAAATATTCAAACATTAGCGTAGCAGTAAAGATGGGGAATCCGGAGATAAATATGGTTTATGGTTGCGAGCGTTGTGCATAATAAAATAATACAATAGACCATCAAAATAACGGTTTAAATGTAATATTTTACCCGTTGGTTGATAGTAATTAATGATATAAGGGTTGACATGTAGATCATATTCACGAGTGAAAACGACTAGTTCAGAAGGCCCAAAACCAAGTAAAATATTTATCATTTTCTGTAAGTATTATAATTTTTCATCGGTATAAATATGAGCGTTATAAATCAAACAGGAAGAACTGTAATTGATGACAAGGGCAACGAAATAGTTGATAGTTTACGTCGCAAAGCGGATAAATACAATTGTCTTCTATTTGAAAATCCAGTAATCGAAATTTGCTATTGAAAGCTATCGTATGCAGTTTTAATAGCTTTTCGCTTGCAGCTATGAACTCGTGTGCTCTCATGCGCTCTTAAACATCAGTATATATGCGTTGATCTTGATACCTTGTTCATTCCCTATTGTATACCGCCCGATAAAGGGGAGTACTGAACAAAAATACGATTGTGTTATCTCCCATTTCTCTTTGACCGCGTCAGAATGTGAGCTGCCAAACACCTGTGCTTTCCGATTTGCCTACAATCAGGGGCAAATGTCACGTGTGTACACGAAATTTCCCATCACTGTTCATGGGCAAAAATTGATTATTTTGCCCCTATAAGTGCCCTATTAGTGTTTAACATTTATTTGAGATAACTGTACAAGTTATTCAAGACAAAAATCCGAAAATTATACGTATAAATGCGTACCAAATGCCTTATGAGTTTGTAAGATTTATTCTGAGACAAATGATAAGTAACAAAAGAAAACGAAAAAAATAATTTTAGGGCAAAATTATAGTATTTTCAATTCATTTTATTGTATTTTTGCATGGGAAGATTCGCAGTTGAAATAAATATAATTTTACGGAGCAGTGTAATTTAATGTAATGTTTCTTCTTGACATGACAATAACCAGAGCTACCAAATGGTGTATCCGATTTCAACAAAATTATCTTTGAATCATTGATTAGTGATTACGGATGCGTCACCTGCTAAGGTCATTAGTCACGTAAGTGTATTACATATATTTATCTCAGGAGGTGGCGGTGATCTTTCCCCACTGAATGGCGAGACCCGTCGCCGACCTACCCGTCAGCTTGCGGAGTTTCCCCCACCAGGTATCTCCCACCGCCCCATCCGGGTGGCGGTGATCTTCCCCACTGAATGGTGAGACCCGTCGCCGATCTACCCGTCAGCTTGCGGAGTTTCCCCCAACCAGGTATCTCCCACGGTCCCATCCGGGGCAAGCTTTAATGAAAGCCCGATTGGAAAGCGTGTTCGCCGTTTTGCGCAGACGTGAACGAGTGCTTGCTGCGCAACGGGCACGGGCCGTGCCAGGACCGCTGCACCAACCTGCGCGGCTCGTACGCGTGCTCGTGCGAGGGCATCCCGGGCACGCGGCTGGCGCCCGACAACCACACGTGCCAGGACGTGGACGAGTGCGCCGAGGACAACGCCGGCTGCTCGCACGAGTGCGTCAACACCGTGGGCAGCGCCTTCTGCGAGTGCCCGCAGGGCTTCATGCTCGCCCACGACTGGAAGACGTGCCAAGGTGAGCGGTTGACGGCGGACGCGAAGGGAGAGCAGGCGGTCGGGTGGGAGCCTCGTCGTAGGAAGGTGTGGCAGAAAAAGTGGACAGAATTTTCTGTGAAATCTTATCTTTTTCACCTTCTTCCTGTCCATTCTCTCTTCCTTCTGTTTCTCCGTCTCTTCTTACTCCTCTTCTTTCTTCTTTCTTTCCTATTCTTCCTCCTTCTCTACCTCTTCCTTTGTGTCTTCCTTCGTGTCTACCTCCTCCTTGCCCTTCTTCTTTTCCTTTTCTTTGTCCACCTTTTCCTGTCTCCTGACTCTGACTCCTTTTTTCGGGTTCCCTTCTACCAAAGTCTTCTCCTTCTTTAAGTTTTGTAATGAAATTTATAAATTTCAATGAATTGTGTAATTTATGGAGTATTTCTTTCCATAACTTTGAATGATATATTAAGATGACTTAATTGTAGTAAAGCGTTATTTCTTGCACGTAAATGTTGCACATATTCCCGTAAATTTGATAATTCGCCATTAACAGTAATTACGAATCAGATTTGTATATAATATTAATATATATATATATATATATATATATATATATATATATATATATAACCCATGTGTAACATGTTTCATATTTACAATAACCGTTGTTTCGTTCCAAATTATTCCCTTTTCTCAGCAATTGACTTTTGAATTCTATACAGACAGTTTGGAAGAGACAGAATTTTTCACACACTTTCAATCGTTTAACTGTAATTAAAAATGTATGTGATTTTATATTTTAAAAAACTATTTAAATTGGTCAGAAGTACTTCTCAAGTAAAATTTTGGTTCCACATCTCGACGCCTGTAGGTGTAGGTAGCTGTAGGTAGGCAACCCTCCATCCAACTATGTAAGGAGTGTTCTCACGCGTTCATTCCAAGGATGCCAGGAGGTACCTGATTGATGAATGATGAATTGAGCTTATACATGTTCTAATTTTGGAAATGTCTGTTTGGCGCTACAGATTTTTTCTAAAACATCCTAATCAATTACTAATTTTCAATAAAATATACGAACTATACATCTTAAATGTTACGAAACATTAATTATATTTTATTTCTATTTTATTAATCTATTTCTGAACGGTTTATGTTTTAATACTCATAAATTGTAAACATATTACATTTTTTCGGCGTATTCTCATAATTTCAATATTGAAGATATATATTTCTTCTAAATGAATTCTGTTATTCAAAACCAAATCTTGAAATGAGATCATGTAATATTTTTTGACAATGTGAATAGTTTTCGCGAAATTTTGTGTGAAATATAGGCAGTTTTAAACACTAATTTTTAAGAAACGGCTTCAATTTTTTATTTTATTTTTGCACAGATAGAACAAAACACGCATAAAATGGTCATTCAACTCTGTAAATCTTCGAAAGACTACTAAGTTAAAAACAATACAAGAACAATACAATGCACTCTTGTAGCTCCACTAGTTCTTTAATGGAACACGGATAGATATCGATAAGACAAGTACAGCTATATGTTATTTGATTAATAATTGTAAACACTAATGGGTTTAAAAATCAGTCGTTATAGCAGCTTCGGGTGTACGCGGTGCAGCTGTTGTTCGTCGATCTAGCGCACATCGTGACCTCTAAACAACAATCGGCACCGCGGTATTTAAAAAAGACTCATGCAGAGAGTGAATTATGAGAGAGCAGAGCAAAGATTTGTGACTCAGCGGTGTGTCGTTTCTACGGACAGTTGTGTAGACACTTGTAGAAATTTGCAACACATTTATGTTATAAATAGCGTAATTTCAGTAAAAATTGTTTCGTTTTATTATTGATGTAAAGTAAATTCACGAATACATAACAGAGAAAATTATTTGGTTACATTAAAAAATATTTAGTGGCAGAATCGATTTTACTGAAGAAGTTGCTACTCAGTTGAATACACTATTGTCAGGGAATAACGCAGTTTTCCTAGTGAAACAGAGAGAAGTATTTTTTTCCGTTTTGGGGGGCCTACCAAAACCGTGCGAAGCAGAGAAAACGGTATTTTTGTTGGATTTGATGCGTAATGTTTTCAAGAGCAGCGACGTAACGTTTGCAGTGGAATGTATTTCGCAAGACTTACACAGAGTTACACACATCATACAAGTCTGCCCCTTTTAAAAATCGAAGTTGTTTGAATCTGCCTGATGAACGATGCTACTAATGAGATCATACCGGTGATTTTCATGACCCTTCAATTGGCACTTTTGGACGAATAGTGAACTCGCTACCTAAAATGATTGTAACATACTAGGGTTTTGAAGGCACAATTCTTGAAAAGGAAAGGCGACCGAAGTCGTCGTCAAGGCTACTGCACTTCCCTCCATCTTCCACTTTGGAGACCGCTTTACAGTCCGGCACCGCGCCACGAACTTCCGAGTATTTTTTATGGCGCCGGGTTTCATACTCTTTATTATTCATTAAATACTTACATGTGTAGTATTGTTGCAATTGTCTTCTCAAGACGTACCTATGAGTGTAAAACATTTATATTTTTTTCCATTTGAAGAAAACATAATTCAAAATCTTTAAAATAAAAAATAAACCTTATAAACTTCCACTAATGAGCTTGTTTGTCCTAAATCGTTTGGTGACATTTTCAGAAAATATTTGTATTGAACCGTTTAGAAAATAGTCGAGTTAGACGATTTTATTGATTAAAACTATAAGAAAACAATTTAAGCAGAGAACAAAACCCACTTCTAATTAACTTTTTGGTGAAAATCTTTGGTGAATGTTAAATCCAATTTTTAACAACACTTAAGCGCAAAATCTACATTTTGAAGCATTTAAGGGTAAATGAAGTACAAATCTCTACAATATTAGTAGGTAATATAACACCTCTGACCACTGAGAGAAATAATGTTATTTTTCTCTCCTGTAAAGTATGGTTGTCTAGAGTTAGGGAGCTTCTGATTCCCTGATTCATTTATAAACATAATTATTATTTTAAGTATAAATGGGTTCATGATTTTGAACATACCAATTAGTCGCCACCTGCATGTTTGGCTATCGATCTCCACTTGACGTTACTGCCTTTCGTTACTACCTTTTGTTACTGCCTTTCGTTACTGTTCATTACCACGCAGTTCAAAGCAGTTGACGATCCGTATGCACAATAAGCATCTTAACGATAATCGCAATGTGTGAATCTAGTAGATGTTCATAAATCACATGAAGTTCATTTGCAAAGGTTGTTTGAAAAAAAATTCATAGAAATTAGTAAATCACTTATTTTATTCTAAACTCTTCATAAGAACTTTAAAATAAACATTATTTATTACAGAAACAAAAGAGCGTATTATTTATTGTTTTCTTGTTCTCTTTACTGAGGTGTGACTGAGCACCTCGCGCCGCAATTCGGTACGAAACATGATGCGTGTTCTGCCGTAATAAGAGGATCGACCTGTTTCTATGTGTTCCTTGCGCAGACATCGACGAATGCGCTCTGGACGGCGCGGGTTGCCCGCATGGCTGCAGCAACAGCGTGGGCTCCTTCAGTTGCCTGGAAGCGTCGGTGGAGGAAGAGGACGAGGAAGAAGAAGAGGAGAAGGACGAAGAGGCAGAGGGCAGCCGCGAAGAGCCGAACAGCATTCGCGCAGATGGCGCCACCGATCCGGACAACGGCGAGGACGATTACGACGAAGAGGAAGAGGGAGAGGATGGGGAGGATGAGGAGGAAGAGGGCGACGACGGTGAGGAGGGAGATGACGGTGAGGCCGGTAGAAATGGTGAACGATCTGATATTTTTCTAACGCAATTGAATTTCGATATCTGAAATTCCTAGTTCTTCTCAGTGAAATAAAAAGTTCGATTCATAATATTTCTACATATTGTTTCGAGTTGTGAACTTCTAAACGTAAATTTAAAAAATGCACGAGATTCAGTAAAATTAGAAATATTACATCAGCGCTAGGGATGAGTCAACATAAGGAATGGTTTGAGTTAAATGATTAGCCGTTAATTCTGGAGAGTAGTAACTGAATGAGACATAATCTTTCAATTTCTTTTTAATTGTACACCTCTGTTTCAAAATATTGCCATTTCATTTAAAGCATTGTAATTTTCGTACTATTTCGAGATACTTTCATTTTAAACTTTAATGAGCCTGTTTTCTCCCAATTTTATTCTATTTTCTGAATTATAAATAAATCAGACTAAGCATGTGTCATTAATTATTTATTTTTAATGCTTACGAAAAGTAAAAAGGGCCTAAAAGGTATTTAAAACGACCATTTGCGCGATCCTTTTCAGGTGAGAAGGAAAACGGAAGCAACGGTGACGAAGAGGGGGGACCGGACGACGAAGAAGATGAAGCATCGCGCCCGTTGCCCACGCCCCCGCTCCCGCCCGACACGCCCACCACGACGCCGACGCCCTCGCCCACCACGCCCACCACCGCTGGCACCACCACCACCACCACGGCGGAGCCCCCGCCCTGTGGCGACGGCTTCGAGCGGGTGGGCACAGACTGCCGAGGTGAGCTCGCCTTGCACCGCCTTGCACCCACCACGGACCATGTTATTGTTTTTTAATTGGTTCCATATGTTTCATACAACACGTCTCTTAGCTCTTCTTGAGTTTGAGCGTATATCTGGAGTAATCCTCCGTTACGTGTGTGTCCTTCGTCTCAACAGTCAGTCAATGCATTTTAACCCTTCGTCAAGGGCCTCTGCATAATAACCGGGGTTCCCAGATGGTCACCCGTCCAGAAATCCTCTAATGACACCGGCTAGAAAGAAAGAAACTAGAAAGGTTTTTGCACAGCGAACTGTAAAATGATATGATGCACATTAGAAGCAACCGCTTGACCTATTTCGTTAAAAGCGTTCTGCGAAACGTTCATTTTAAGAACGGTGACGACTGGATGTGCTAAATTCACGTAATGACATATCCGCTTCATTCGCGTATGTTGGATTAGACCTGTCCATCAATATGATATTGTATCATGAGGATACTGTACACGATACAATTTATCTGATTACACATAATAATTATGGTGGAATATCGTTTTCCGGTATAATAATCGTAATATTAAATTTCTCGCGTGCACAAAGGTTCAAAAACTGGTTTATATCGCGTATGATGTAGTGCTTCACGGCGTTAAGTGCTGGCATCTTAAAAATGTTGATTTAGTATTAAAACGCACTATTAACACGTTAAAACATTATGTTTGTATATTTAGAAATTTATTAGAAATTGGACTTTGGAAATTCAACTTGTGTGGGTAAATCTCATATAACCAAGTGACCACCTGATATTGGTCCCTAATTGACAGGCGACTCACTTTGCTCTGATGTTTGACAAGTACACGAAATCTCACAGAATGCGTACTTACCAAACGCCAGTTCATAGTGATTTGAATATCAATCAGGGGCCAATATCACAGGTATTATTTCGTTATATTAGATATCTCACTAAATGTTAATAGCAAAATGTGTTCAACTCTGCCCCCCCCCTTCATGACATAAAATTTGTAATAATTATTCTGACTCACGCTGTATCTTTGTTCAGCATAATGATCCTGATGTAAACAAATAAGGATAGTATTCATCCGCGACTACTATCCTCATTGGCCGATTGCTCTAGGCTCCTCCTTAGTTCGCGTATACACGAACTGTCAGAAGCGTACGTGACAACGAAAGTTCCGCCTGCGATAAGACGTGTAGGTCGGCACCGGATCTCTCCATTCAGAGGAAGAACACTGCCATCTCCTCGAATAAATAGTATTCACAACACGAGACAAATGACCGTAGCAGTTGACGTGCCCAGAAATATCAGTCTGTAAACAGATAAATGTAAGCCGCTGTGAAGAACGTGCAGAGTTTTGCCGCGTGTCCGCAGACGTGGACGAGTGCGCGACGGGCGCGGCGGGCTGCTCGCACGGCTGCGCCAACGAGCCCGGCTCGTTCCGCTGCTGGTGCCCCGACGGGCTGGCGCTGGACGGCGGCGGGCGGGGCTGCGAGGCGCGGCCGGGCGACGCGTGCGAGGCGGCGCGCGCGCTGGATGCCGGTTGCTCGCACACGTGCGTGCCCGAGGCGGACGCCGCCGCGGCCGGCGGGCCCTTCCGCTGCGAGTGCCCCGCGGGCTTCCGCCTCGGCAGCGACCTGCGCACCTGCGCCGACGTGGACGAGTGCGCGCCCGGCCCCGACGCCGCCCACGCGCGCCACAACTGCTCCGCCCAGCTGCGCCAGCGCTGCGTCAACGACATCGGCTCCTTCCACTGCGAGTGCGACGACGGGTGAGCCGCGCCTCCTCTCTTTATTTATTTACCGAATTTTCGATCATTTAACACACAAGTATCCCTTTTCATTTCTGATAATCAATAAACAAGTTTTTAAAATTGTTATTAATGTAACTAGTCCTCTAAATTGGTCTTTCAGAATAAGACCGGATGGTTAACGGCGAGGCGGAGATATAGCGGAGCCGAGTACTAAAACGTCCGGCCGAGTCCTTAAACACTAATGGCCGTGTTACATACAATATTTTTTGTAATTTATAGTTATTCTATTTAAAATATAAATTTCACACTTTCATGAGTTAATAATTGTCATAACTCTCGATGTTCTGTAGCAAGGGTTGTTGGTAGAGGGTCTTGGAACCGTTCGTTATTTGAGCTATAGTCTTGGTTTCTTCCCCATTTTTTCACATTCACACATATTTCCTCATTGGTCATAAAAAGAAAAATACCCAAATAGCATTATCTAAGCGCACGTTGAACGTCAATTTCGTGGCACTATTTTCATCTTTCACACATTTGGTATGATATTTCGTGCGCTCTAGATACGTTTTCTTATCGTATTACATCAGTCATATTGCACTGAAGCACTGAATGCGTAATCTTTTAGTAGCATATGGTGTACGCAAGAACTTGATGTTGATTTCGTTTTCAGCACTACTCATTATCATAACGAATAGATTTAAATCACCTTTCCTCTCAAATAAGAAATACAAGTATTAGTTAACGAGAGAACCTGTTTTGGACTTATTTATTGGTTCATTCGTATTTGATGTATGGGACCTAGTTTCCACGAATTACTGCATGTCCTTGCGTCATGAATATAATGTTCGACAAAAGGAATTGACTTTTCAAAATTACAAATGTGACGTTAAAAGGTGTCCTTTTCAGTGTACCTGTATTGTTGAAAGACGAACTAAGTGATAATAATGATGCATTATTGCTTCCCCCCTTGTAATAGATTCGCATTCTTTCACAGTGAAAAAACTAATGAGACGAAACTCTTCTGTATCTCCTTATTAGAACTTCATTTTAGTCCTCTCTTTGTTATTTCTATATAAAATTAGTTACAATTGAAAAATAAATGAACAGAAGACATCTTTTGAGTCTATTTTTGCCAATACATCCAGAAACTAACTGAGCTTGTTCAAGAATTGTGTCGAAAGAAATTAAAAGATTATTTTACATGAAAGAAAATTATAGAAAATTACACTCAGAGCTTTAAAATTAATTGCAGAAGATTAAAAATATTTGATAAAGAACTCGTTTATCAGAAAAGTATATTTCACTATCTTCTGTTGAGTCGCGTATGCAAACCTCACGCCATAAAGTTAGATTCTTTAGGATTTGTTCTGTTTATCCATTTTTCCATGATTTGATATTTTGCACCTCTATATTATACAATTTTTTTCTAATTGATATTTCGTTTCCTTTGTCTCTAGGCCGTAAATATTATAACACAATCACACACGACAAGTACTTCTCAGTATTTGTCAAATAAGGGTGATTCAAATTGTCTCCTTTATTAAACAAAAGCTAAATATACCAGTAAATAATATTGAACTTGAGCTTTAATTTTCCACATATTGACAAACTTCATTTGTCCCGTACCGTTTAAATGATTTCTTACGTAAAATAAATATTACAACTACTGTGAAGGGAAGGAGATACAGAACGAGCGCAAATACCCATGCCACAGAATGTACCTCGATACTACGACCCTGCGAACAGAGGGAGTTGGGACTTGGGACACTCGCACCTTAGCGACTTGGACTAGCTGAGTGGGCACTTTCTTTTCTTCTTCTTCTTCTTCTTCTTCTTCTTCTTCTTCTTATTATTATTATTATTATTATTATTATTATTATTATTATTATTATTATTATTGTTATTGTTGTTGTTGTTGCTGTTGTTTTTATTACAATTCTTATTACTAGATTAAAAGTTTTCGAAATGGGGAAGTTGCCTTCTTGGCAACCCAATGCGAGTCGTGTGTTCTCCATGCTCAGGTACGCGTCGGGAGAGGACGAGGGCGCGTGCGAGGACGTGGACGAGTGCGCGGGGCCCGAGGCGTCGCGCTGCTCGCACGCGTGCGTCAACACGGACGGCTCGTTCCGTTGCGCGTGCCCGGCGGGCTTCCGCCTGTTGGGCGACCTGCGCACGTGC